GCTCCGCAGCGGCGGCCGTAGCTGCAGCCGCCGCCGCCGCCGCTCGTTGCAGCGCCGGCGCCGATGCCTCCTCCTGCGGCGGCCCGGCAGGGAAGATGGCGCCGTCCCACGTCCTCAAGTGTTGCCAGAAGGTGTTGGCCTGGGTGCCCGTGGCCTTCATCGCTCTGGTCGTGGCCTGGTCCTACTACGCCTACGTGGTGGAGCTGTGTATGTGTGAGTGGACGGGAAGGATCGCGGGCGCTGCCAGCCGGGCGGGGAGGACCCCTCACCACCCCTTCTCCCCTGCGCCCCGCCGGGGTTTCCCTTTCCCTTCGCCCGCCTCGGGCTTTCCTTCAGGCGGGCGAGAGGAGGACACCCCCTTCTTCCCTTCAGGTGCTCCCTCCGGGGCTGGGTTTACCTGTTGTCCCCCCGGCCTGAGGCGCCTTCCCGGGGCCGCCGGGCGAGGACGGCGGGAGTCCGCCCTCAAGACGCCTCATGGCGGCGGGATCCCGGACCGGGGTCGCCGGTGGAGAAGCGACGGACGGGGACGAGGGAGAGGAGGCCCAGACGGGGGATCTGGGGCGCTTTGTTTGGGGATAGGCCCCTCAGGGAGGCGGTGAGGGGCAGGGGCACCCTCAAGGAGCTATAAGGGGTAAGGTACCCCCCTCAAGGAGCCATGAGGGGCTGCCGGAGCTCCCGAGGGGTCCCTTGCCCCTCATGTTTCCCTGTAAGAAGTTTCCCTTCTCTATTTTTATGTTGTTAATCCGTCTTTCTGATGTATCGAATAACTCCTTGACCACCGTATGAGTGTATTTATCCTTCCCCCCCTCCTTCCCAGCTTCTAATTAAGAAGCGCGGTGTCATTGAAGCATAATGAGGCTGAAAACATCCCGCTTAAGTGGGGAGGGGGGAGGATTTACGGCTTATGGGGTTCTGTCAGGCCGCGTCAAGGCTTTCTGGACCGAGGGCTCAGCGTTATGTAAATCTGCCTTGCAGAGGGTGTCGGTCAGATATTTACCCTTTTCTGTCTTCAGGAGGAAACTTCCGATGAGGAGGATGTTGCCTTTCTCCAGGCAGGGTCCATGGAGCAGCACGGTGATGCGCAGTGTTTGTCAGACTTGGTAAAACTTGGAAGCAGCGTAGGAAAACTAAAGAATGTGTTACTGAGCGTTTGGCATGTTCAACTAAGGAAGCTGAAGTGAAAAGCAAAAAAAAAAAAACCAACCCACAAGCATGAAGAACTATTTTAAGCTACATATAGGTCTATCTAGCATTTCTATCTAGCATTTGTAGGTCCTTGTTATTTCTGCTATTTGTGTAAAATACGTGCTTTGATATCCCTAGCTAGAAATGAAAGGCTTGCATGCACTTTATATCTGGGCAAACTTGTAAAAGCATCCTTCCCATAGAAGTAATCAGTTATTTTTTTAACTGTAGGACTTAGGGTTTTGGATAACTTTTCTGAATGCACATGGTATTTCACAGCCTTTTGTGTTAGCTTTGTGTATGTGGACTGGAACATTAACCACAGGCAAAAAGTTATTTAGACTTAAAATAGTGGAAATACAATTGTAAAGTAACACTTGTTGAGATATTACATGAAATGTTGACATGAGAGTTGCAGATACATCAGTGTATTCAGACTTGCCATGCTATGGTTTAGTGGTCTGTGAGTGTAAGTAGTACTGTTTTTCTGGGAAAGTCGTGCTTGGATCTATAAATACTTGGAACGGAATTCTAGATAATCTTTAATACTGGAGGTCTGGGGCATGTGTAGTAGTTTCAGGAGTCCTGAGAGGGGCTGTGTGAGGTTATAGACCCAGGTGTGAAGGTTTTTTGTACCCATCACAGTCTGACCACGGTGACAAAAGGCAGATTTAGGACTATGTTATTTCTTCTCTTAAGCAAAGAACAAAAAACTCAGAGATTAAGAGACTTGCCTAGGGTTTGCGCAGGTGGTCTCTGGCTGAATTGAGAACAGAACCTCAACCTCCCAAGTCCCAGCTCTGTGTCTTGGTCACAGTGAGTGGGTCAGGGCTGGGCACTGGTGGATGATTCTTCCTTCGCAGGCATAGAGAAGCTGCCTTCTGAGTTCATTAGGGTTTAATTTGTGTGAAAAATTATTGAAAGGGTTGGCTCCTGTTTATGCGAGAACTTTCACATCTATAAATCTGGTTTCTAGACGTCTGGCACTTTTTGCTCACAAATCAGCTTTATTCTTAATGTCTGCACATACAGACTATTTAGAAAAAGTGGTCATTTAAGGAGAAAATGACTTACTGTTTTTCATTGCTGTTACTGAATTTTACAGTAGTTACCTGTCTAAATCATACTTGGTGACCAAGGAGTTTATTTTTCTGTGAGTTTTTTTCCATTGTGGGTTTTGGGGGTTTTGTTTGTTTGTTTTAACCTGTTGAATTTTGTTTACACTCTTGATAAAAGGTCACCTCATCAAGGGAGAGGAAAGGGTGTTTGTGTTGCTAATGAATGAGGTGGTGCTGGGCTCTGCAGATGCTCACGTACAGCGGGTGTAGAAGCTGGGCTGATGGCTTATTGCATTTCTGTGGCTTTGGCAAAGGGCTCAATGTGCAGCCGATGTGTCCCTGGGAAAAGGAAAGACAGATGGAGGAAGGGAAGCTTTAGAAAAGAGGAGACACAACAGAAAACTTTGAGGAAATATTGAGAATAAAAGAGAAATTAAACACACACAAACACACACCCCCAGTGTTTTTTTCAAAGGTTAGTCTCAAAGATTTGATAACTGTGAAGACGTGAAGCTAACAAGGAAACGGGAAGAGGTAACGCTTTCATTGCCCCAAGTTTTTCTTCCTGTTTTGGTTTTTTTTTTCCTCCTTTCAGTCTCTCTTCATGTATTAAAGGTTAAACATATGTTTTCGGTTAGTAGATTGAGCTTAATGTAGTATTATAAAAGATTCCAAATAATCAAAGTAGAAGATGGTACAGTAAAGTTGGGGTTGCTTCTTTCATCACATCCCCCTTTTCCTTTCAGTTTTGCTTCTCCCTGCTGCTTGCCCCACCCTCCTCCACTGGGCTGTTCATATATTGCTCAATGCCTTGCTCTTGGTGTCTGGCGGACTGAGTTTTAATCTGTAATTCAGTGCTAGTATGTATTTACTGGGTTATGCCTCTTCATAACCCTGTATTATATTAGTTACAAACTGGCTATGAACACTGAGGACGACTGGTGTGGACAAGATGAAAGGAGATTCATGAGCTAGTCCATTGTTTGCCTCCCATGGAAACTGCCAGCATTGTTGCACTCTCTGAAGCATTGCTCTTGTATGCTGCTGAACACTGGCTTATTTAGACCACTGCTGCTGTGTAGTTGTGATCATCAGGTAAATTACCTATTAATCTAATTGGGAGAGTTTAAATGACCCTTTCTCACCAAATGCGTGGAAGTTGAGGGAATGTCAGCAGAGTGGAAAAAAAAATATCTGTGAACACATGTAACTGAAGGAACTGCAGAAAACCTGAGGAAACATCTCATTCAGATTTTTTAAAAACGTTTTGAGTGGAAAAGCCACGAGTGAGCACTTTCTGACTAGATTATTTCTTCTTTTCACACATAGCTTGCGCAGAACTCTGCTTGCAAGAAAGCACACCTAGAAATACATAAGGGATATTGTAAAATAACTTTTCATCAGTTTAAAACCATTTCGTATGTTCTTTCTTGTTATCAAAACATGTTTTGCTTTGAACATTGCTTTTGTAAACAATGGCTGTATTATACTGTCAATGAATTGGACTGATTGTGTCTGCTTGCCACATCCCTCAGAAGCTCAGAAAGAGTGGAGCTCTTCTCTTGTGGTTCTTTTTCACTTATGGCTGACTTCTATCTTATTACCTATCGCAAATGTTTTTGTAGGTGATGGCCTGGAATACAGACTGGCTGCAGGATGATCAGAAGACGCTGTTTTGACACATGTAGTAGGAGTTGGTGGGTGAAGCCAGCCTGTTTCCTACAGACAACCATTTTGCTAAAACACTAGTAGAATTTGGTCTGCACTGAGAAAAAGAGAAAGAAGTTAACATTGGTGGAGTTGTCTGGAGGTAGTAACTAAGGTCTATTGGCTGGTTTTATTTAAAGAAATAAAAATTTTGTTCAGGTTAGGGTTTTACTTCCCTAGCAAGAACTCTTATGTTCTGAAAAGCACAGTCCTGGCTCTTCTCTGCGCTGAGAGTTGTAAGGAGAACGGCTGGTTTTATGGATTTGCCAAGCTTGTAAATGTATGAGGTGGGTTGTTTTTTTTTTTATGCCTCAAACTCTGCAAAGTATGGAAAAATGTGATTTTGAAAGCTACAGGAGTACCAAACTATGTGTTCTTATCATAGCATCTACTTGCAGAAAGGTTTGCCTTTTTTAAATACAGTGTAATGTCTGCTGTTTAAAAGCCTGGCAAACAAGGCAGTTCATGGTTTAGAATACATAACTTCATGTTAATGGTACACTGTTACAGGAGACTGAAGTAGCTCTTGTCAGTAGGGAAGACAACTCTGATTTCCCCAAAGCTCAGTCCACATGAGAAGCACATGGTGATCTGTTGTAACGCTCCCCATTTGAAGCGTCTGTTGCATAAACAGAAAGAAGGTAATTCCATCTGCCTCCTCCAGGAGAAATCTCTACTGAAAATGCTAATGCAGTACCAATCAAGCAATGACAAGGTGATATTATCAGCAGTATGTCAGTAACTTCTGATTTCAAACTACAGGAAAAGCTGAGGTATCAGCACTGAAGTACAACATTTGCATGTTAAGCATGCATAAAGCATTCCCGTAGGAAAAGAGGGTTACTGTTTCAAGAAAAAGAACAGCAAATTAAACAGGTTAAAGCATTAGTAGCAGTTAACTATGTTTATGTGCCTCTCATGAATTTTAAAGTAAAGAAATTGAACAGCTTTGGATGCACTTGGTTGTCTTGTAGTGTCTCAGATCAAGTATGTATGTTATGATCTTTAATGAAATCTTTTTGTTGTTATGAATAAGTAGAATTCCTGTTAAAGCTCAGACTGGATACATATGTATTGGAAAACTAGACGCTCAGCGTGAGTAGAAAGATTATCTATCTTCTTATATGGTGCTTTGCACTGTATTGGTCATACTAGTTTATAAAGATGGGTCAGCTTGTGCCCTTTATATGGCATGAAATCTGCTCTCTTGGCAGCCCTCTAATAATAATAAAAAAAAAACGTTCCAAGAGCAACAGAGCTAGT